CCTCCTCCTCCTCCTCCTCCTTCTCCTCCTCCTCCTCCTCCTCCTCCTCCTCCTCCTCCTTAATGGAACTGTGATCCCCCCCTTGCCTTTTCTTCCTCTTCTCGAAAGAACCTTTTGAATGAAATATGAACCCTCTTAATTTTTAATAGCAATGGCAGATTTGCAAAATGAAATCATTTCAGGCACAGACCCAGCTGGAGTTGCAGGAGAAAAATGAATGTGTCTTCTGACAGAAGGGATGAAAATCTTTCCCTATCCTTCTACCGTTCTTACCTATGGTGCTGGTCTGAGAACAGGCTGATCAATTCCATTAATGATATGTTTTATAGCTGGAGGAGGGAGCCTTCTTAAATGCACTGGTGCAAGTGAGCCCAGGACAGCTTAGATTTAGGCTGTGACCCACTTTCTTTGGCCCTGAGAAGGAATGAGAAGTTTGTGGCATGGGAATTTTTAGACAAACAAACTGGGAGGACTTTTATAAGCAAAAAGGCAGAGTGTGAATTTAATAATGCAAATAATGCAGATAAACCAGTTTTAGGCAAATAAGTCCAATGAGCCTGAACAGGCCAAATTTAATCTTTTTCCAAACAAATAAACAGCACCAGCAAAAACATAGGTGCATATTGTAGGGTGTGTGTCTTAAAGAATGAGTGCATTATGGGGAAAAAAGCTTGCAGCTAAGGAAATCTAAGTCCCAGCAATGCATATGAGAAACAGCTCCCACCTTGTTTTATTTATTCGCCCCAGAATTTTGGTGATGGGTAATAAAAAAGTTCCAGGGGAACTCTGAGGGCTGTAAAGCAGATTAAGGGCTGCATATTTCTCATGGACCATAGATGACCCCCCCTTCCCCCCTCCCCCAGGATAAATGCAGCAGATCCCTCCTTTTGTTCTTCCAATTGCCACTGCTGTCACTTGTTGCAAATGTACTCATCTCTCCTTCTCTGTCTTTCTCTCGCTCCAGTTTGTGGCTCAGCCCAACTGCCAGCAACTACTAGCAACGCTCTGGTACGATGGCTTCCCCGGATGGCGGCGGAAGCATTGGGCGGTCAAGCTTTTGACCTGTGTCACTATCGGACTGCTGTTTCCAGTGCTTTCTGTGGCCTATTTGATCGCACCTAAAAGCAGGCTGGGACTGTTCATTAAAAAGCCATTTATCAAGTTTATCTGCCACACGGGCTCCTACCTTACCTTCCTCTTCATGCTACTGCTTGCATCCCAGCACATTGTCAGGACAGACCTGCACATGCAAGGACCTCCTCCTACTGTGGTGGAATGGATGATCCTCCCCTGGGTTTTAGGTAAGTCAATGAAGGCACTGAGGGTTAATGAGAATTGCTTGCAGATTAATTTTGCTTGGGATGTTGTTATTTCCATGTAAATAAGTTTGGCAAACAAGACACTTCAGGACCAACAGCTGCTGTCTCTTCTAGGAGAAGAAAAAGCCACATCCTTCCCCACATTTAGCCTTACTGTCTGTGGCAATTTTGGAACTGGTGGAAAGGACTTCCTTTCCCATCCCTTCCCACCCCATCCTATCCTGTGGCTGGGGAATACGGCTAACCAGATTGTGGAAGAACCCACATGGTTGGTTGCTGTAGGGAGCAGTACCTATGGAGACACCAGCAAAAGCAATTGGCAGTTATGGAGAACAATCCAGGTTCAGCTGCATTGCAAGAGAGAGCACTGGGACATCGCGCAGTGAGGTTCTCTAACTGAATAAATCTAGACCTGTTTTGTATGCGGAGGTCCCTAAATTCAGTCCCGGGGAACTCTAAGTCCATGTAGGAACTTATGGGAAAGGTTTCAGAATGGCCAAAATAGGGTTAGATAAACATACATTTTGACCAGGGTCTCCTGGTGTTGCTTGTGAGTCTTGTGGCTCTCGAAGCATCCAAATACAGAACATCCTGTTCCATGGAGATTTCAGAGTATGGATGTTCTGACGTCAAAACCTTTAGCATATCTCAGTCTAAACACCGTTGGACGCTGAATTGGGACACATGAGTTGCAAGACCAGCAAGATGCTTCTCTGCACAATTCTGTAAGCCACATTCCCCTGGTATCCTCCAGATGTGCTAAGATGACCACATCCAGAATCCCCAGGAATGTCCTGGGAAGTAGGGGAGTAGCAGTTCTAACATATCTTTGAGGGTCTAGTTTGGAAGGTACCATGGATAAGCTATACGGACAGCAGTTGACTTAGACAGTTATTGAAACAAGAGGATCGATCTCACAAGCTGAGAGAGAACTCAGGTGAATTGAAGACTGACGTTCCTGATAGTAGAATGCAAACTCCCGTTCTGGAAACAGATGTAGGGGTGGGAAGGGACAGCTAGAATGAATATTGATTTCCTGCCCTGTTGTTTAGACTTCCTGAAACATCCAGGCAGAATAGTGTTTGAAACAGGAACAAGACCCTTGACTTAGATGTCCTTGGATCTAATTTAGAGGATTCTTGATTGAATTGTAGGATGGGATTAAGATGGTGAAGGTAGATATTATGTCTAGTAATATCCACCCAGGAATCTTATAGTTACATTCTTATTTCTTAGCATATCTTATGTTGCAATTTATACTAAAGAGAGGGGCCTGTGATTTTTTTAAATGTTGGACTACAATCATTATTAATGATCATGATGGTTGGACCTTCACAGATCTGGAGATCAAATGACACAGGAAGGATGACTGGTTCCTCACCTCTGTACCATATTCTTGATGCTCATGACATTTTAATGAAATATATGAACAAATGTTCAGTAAATGCATACATTTAATTGACTGACTGAATGAGTGATTTGACCACCCAACTCACAGAATGTGACTCTGGGTGGCAAACAACAATAAAACAAAATTACAATTGACAACTAATACGTATATAGGGAACTTTTTTTCCCCTGATTTAGTTTGTTTCTTAGCATTATATGCTTTCTTTCTTGATATTACCCAGCTAGATAAAAGGACTAGAAAACATCACAAATTTAAACAGGGTTGGACCTGGTTAGTAGTGGGATGGGAGACTATCAAAAAATCCTAGAGTTGTAAATTAGCAAGGAAGTTGGGGGGAAAAAATTCCTGGGAGATGGCAGCAGCAAATCCCTTCCATATCCCTGCCTAGAGAACTCCGGGGGCCTGTTATGAAATCCCTAGCAGTTGATTCTCAAAGATTTTACTTTTCTTCCCTCTTGATGTTAAGTCAAAGTGACTTCATTCTAATGTAATAGAATACTTCAGCTTATTGCAGTTAAGATGGTCATGCTGGAAACTAACACATGATCAAAGAAATCCAAGGGGAAGAGGTGAACAGCTATAGATTTCACCATGGCTTCCTAATCCATGCCTGGTGAACCTCCTCCAGTTATGTTTACGTGACCACTGAATCCATGGTACAGATGAAGTAGAAACCTGGAGGTTTCTGCTGTTTAGCTCAGCGTCATCGTTCCTATGCTACACAAAGTCAAGTAATGTTACAGAGGTGGTGTGCAACCCATTATTCAAGCTGCATTGTAGTTAATGTAAGCTAACCAACAGCTCAGATGTGGATCCCAATAATACAATTGGGCAAATTTTAGGGACTATTCTTGAATGCAAAGTTCTTGGTAAGAGGTAAAAGTAACTATAGATAACCTACACCAGTGTTGTCCAAACTTGGCCACTTTAAGATGAGTGGACTTCAACTCCCAGAATTCTGGGAATTGAAGTCCACTCATCTTAAAGTGGCCAAGTTTGGACAACATTGACCTACAGTCTAAAAGCACCAGAATTCTGGGAATTGAAGTCCACTCATCTTAAAGTGGCCAAGTTTGGACAACATTGACCTACAGTCTAAAAGCACCAGAATTCTGGGAATTGAAGTCCACTCATCTTAAAGTGGCCAAGTTTGGACAACATTGACCTACAGTCTAAAAGCACCCTACAGTTGCTAAATTGATTGATTATATGCCATCGGGTTGGTATCAACTCCTAGCAACTACATAGATTTTTTTTCCAGAATGACCTGTTCCCAACCTGGTCCTTCAACAGTCAGTTGCTAAATAATGGTGTGCTTAAAATGCTGAGTTGATTTTTATCGGCCTGTTTTAGTATGAAATGTCAGGGTAGAAATTGTTACAGACATGATAACTTTGCCATTTTTGTACCATGTAGCTGTTGTTCATTGCGCTATCATCAATTCACATGACTATATTTATATTTATACTTATATTTATATTTCTCTCCTGTGGCTTGTTGCATTATCAAAGCTAGCTGAAGGTCGAGTTGGCAGAATGGTGATATCACAGTATTTCCCTCTAATTTTAGTGTATTTCTGAACCATTCATTAAAATAATTGTGAAAGGGCATGCAGAATAAAATAAAATGTAAGATACTGTAAACAGAGTTCAGTGAAAAATATAGTTGAAAAAAACAGTCCATATAGGAAACATTAATAAAAACAACCACACATACCTTGTGTGTAGAAAGGGAAGACCTAAGCAAGGGAGAATATATTCAATAAATGTCAAAAGCACAGTGCAATGTAGAACATGGTGTTTTAGCCAATTAATTTGACTTTGTGTCTATATAAAGACAACCCTGAGTGATGGCAAAGATTCATTCTGAATGGAAGAACCTTCTCCTTTTCCCCCTTTTTTTACAGCCTCTGATTATCCTTGAACTAATAATATGGTTCCTTTTCCATTTGATTTACTTTCATAGAATCTATTTTTTTTTTAAAAAAAGGAAGTTTGGAGTGGATATGTGAGGGGATTTTAAATAAGGAAATGAAGTGAAATTGAACACTGTAATTCTTCACTTCGACAGCTATTAAAAATGAATCGGACTGAACGGATTCTTCATATTGTAACTTTGAAGTGGAACTTCGCCGAAAGAAAGTTGATGCCTTGCGTGCTGGCCAACAAGCTTCCTTTATTCAATATGCTCCCAGCTCTGTTTTCTCTTTTTTTTTCTGCTTTTGAGAAGGAAAAAACCTCTATCTGTACACACACACATATACATCGGGAGTCAGGCTGCACACAAGAGGCTGATGATGATCTCACAGTTCCAGTCTGCTTTCTAAAACCCTTTTTAAAAAGTGTTTGTCTCACCTAAATAATAATATTTTGAAATTATTGATTACACCGGAGAGTTAGAGTACAATTCCCTACAAATAAGTTAATTGGAAGGGGGAACATTTTACAAAATGTCCCCTCTTGATTAGAAAGAAAGAGCTGTGGAAGGCACTGTCATCTTCTCTACAGACAGCAGGACAGTAACTATAGTAACAATGCTATGATTACTCACAATAACTGTAACTCAAGGGTTTCTACATCAAAAGATCCTCTACCACTTCAGTTGTGCAGGCAAGAAATCAGGGATAGAAAGGGAAACGTTGGTTGCTTCTGGTAGCATGAAGCCAGCCTCTCAACTGCAATTCCAAGGAGACAGAAGCAGAAGAAAGGAATTGAGAATTCAACCAAATGCTTCGATGTGGGAGGGCTACTACTGGTTGCTAATGTTTCCTCTATTCTGAATCCACCCAGGCTGCTCCCATTCCTCTGTTGGAAAAGCTGCAGGTCTTGACCACCTCATCACTAGATAGGTGCACAACAGCACCTCCCACCCCGGAGAATTTCACTGAAATGACTTTTATTTGCTAAAAGAAGCCAATTTTCTTTCATCAATTGAAAGGGGATTCAGGTAGGGGGATAAAGCAGATCCTGTCCCTGGGTGGCAAGAGCCAGGAATCCTCTGTTTTATGACTGAAACTTTCCAGTCCAAGGCTACTAAACATTTGCACAGCCCATAAAATAAATTAAAAAATGAGACAGTGATGAGATACAAGCCAATTTGTATTAGTACAGAGTTGATCAATGGTTAGAAATGGGTGGGGCAGGGGAAAGAGAAGATATGAAGATCTTGGAGAGCCTTTACACATTTTTATACTGATTTCCTCTTTATTTTGTCCATTCCTGTGGTTTTTGTTTTTTGTTTTTTTTTTGTCTAAATCTTCTTGGGGACCCGTGCATGTAACATTGAGAAAAAACATTAAAAGTAGCAAATAGTAATTAAAAAGAAGAAGAATTGAGCAGCAGCCCAAACAATCACAGTCATTAAACCAATCAGAGTGATTCAAAACAAAAATTGCAGCAATTACAGAGGTAAAAACAATCAAACAGTTATGGGATAAAAAGTGGGGGGGTTCTGTTTTCTATGTAGAGTTGTATTTAGAAGGGTTGTATTTAGAACTCCACTGTCTATTGCAGTGTTTCTCAACCTTGGTAGCATTAAGATGCATGGACTTCAACTCCCAGAGTTCTCCAGCCAGCCATGCTAGTTGGAGAATTCTGGGAGCTGAAGGCCACACATCTTAAAAGTTGCCAAGGTTGAGAAACACTGGTCTGTTGAGTTGGACCATCTGGACAACTGTTGCTCCATGTTACCCATAGTCCTCTCCAAGGACTGTGCTTAGCCACAGAAATCCAGCAGAGGGATGAAATTCAACCCCAGACTAACATGTTTTCAACCCAGATTGTTCCACCATCCTATGGTAGCAGGTCTTGTTAGTCAAAACGAACAATCAAAAGTTATAGTTGCATGGAGATGGAGAAGCCTGAATGAACTGTCTCTAAGATGAATCACTTATTAGAGAAAAAGATTTCTCTCTCTGAAAAGTTGCACGGGCCTCCTGCAAGCAAATCCCGAGGTTCCTCTTTGAACTTTCGCCCTGATACAGAAGAGTTCATATCCAGTGACTTTCCATCTTTTCTGTCTGAAGGCATAGCACAGTTAGGATATAGACATTGGTGCTGTCCCTTCCATTTCAAGCCATACTTTACGTCCTTGTAAACATCTGTTTCGAAAACCGCACTGCTGTGTTTGACAGAAAAATAGGACGAGGGAGAGAAAACAGGATGGAATCTGGTGTTTCCCAGCTGTTATGTTTTAATTAACTTTTCCAGTGTGTTCTGCTTTGATACCCAATAACAGTGACTTAAAAGAAATGAAAGTTCTTTTTTCACCCCCTCCCCCCCTTTACAGGCTTTATTTGGGGAGAAATCAAAGAAATGTGGGACGGAGGCTTCAACGAATACGTGCACGACTGGTGGAACCTGATGGATTTTGCAATGAACTCTCTCTACTTAGCAACCATTTCTCTGAAAATTGTCGCATATGTCAAGGTACCATCAATTAGTGCAGTGCACATATTTCTTCTGCATTACTTTTTATAATTCTTCGGTTAGATGACAAGGAAATTGCTTTTGGTTTTTTTCCCCTCCAAAAAAACAGAAGGAAATTTCTGCAAAATCCTAGGGATTCTGGCATTTAGCTTCGCTCTTAGATGTGTGTGTGTGTCTGTGTGTGTGTTGTCTTTCACTGTACAGTCATCTCTCAAGTGGTCTGCTGTTTGCTTAGTTTCCCCGACTTCCATTAAAACCCAAGGGAAGTATAACAGAAAACAGTGACAGCACGGAAGGGTAGCTCATAGCAATAAAATAAGATCAAACAGCCCACAAAAAGAGATGATAAATATATTTTAAGGCAAGCTGAGAACAAGAGGACAAAAAATGGAAGCTCCGTTGGCAGAGGAAATAAACAGGAGGGAAATAGGAAGATGGTTTTTGGACAGTTGTACTATGAATAAGCAAGTGTGAATGGCTTCTATGGCCCTGTTGCATCTCAGTGACCCTTAAAGGACATAGTTTGTTGCAGAAAATCCCTGCAAATTCTTCCGTCACTCTTCTTCTCTTTCTGATGCAGATCCCGACCTTTTCTTAGTCTCAACTTCATTCTGTGTTGCATCTTGGTTCATTGTTACGACCCCAAGGTTACCCTGGTTTAGGAATAGTTCTTCAAATAAACCATGACTGCAGATGCTGATGAGGATGGGCTCTGTGGCTTGCACCAAGTTCAGATGTTGTGGTGTTGTTCACCGGTTTAGGTATTTAAGAATGTGAATGCTTCTTCTTGAAATAAGTTTTGGAAGCCTGCTTACAATTAGTGTGCAAAAGCATATCAAACTCATGTCTGAAACCCAGAACAACAGCCAGTGAAAGAATTAGAACAATCAATATACTGTAAACAGCTGCTGGACCACAGAAACTAAATAAGCAGAAATCAAATTAAATGAAGGCCGCATTGCAACGTGAAAGGGAATAAAAATTAAAATGTCAAAGCATCTTTGGTGCCCAAAAGACAGTAAAACAAAGGCCAAGTCTGCTTCCCTATAAAATGTATTCCAAAACTTTGGGAGGGGGTGGTTATTCCTACAGTAGGCAGTGATTAGCCAAAGTTGTTATTTCCCATCCATTATTACATCAGCAAATGTCATGATTTAGTATCTCAACCCTGGCGATGTGCTATCAACTTGAGTTATTGCTATAAAACCAAGGCCGGAGGAAAATATTATTTTTCTTTTGTTTTATTACCTTAATTTGTGAAGCACTTTGAATTTTTTTAAAAAACAACAACGAGGCATAATGATTTTGAATCCGTGAAATTATTCTGATGCAGGAAGAACATGGGTGCCCAAGAAGTTCCAATACTTTGTCCATATGTAATATTTGGCAGGCACCCAGGCAGGGAATGTAAAGTGCTTTCCCAGTTCTCTTGGCATCTCTGTGTGTGTGTGTGTGTGCACGTGCACCTTTGTTAGTTTTGACTCCTGGCAACTGCCTGGACCAGTTGTTGAAGTTTTCTTGACAAGGTTTTTCGGAAGTGGCTTGCCCTTGCCTCCTTCCTAGGGCTGAGGGAGAATGACTGGCCCAGGGTCATCCAGATGGCTTCGTGCCTAAGGTGGGACTAGAACTCACAGTCTCCCCATTTCTAGCCCAGTGCCATAATCACTACACCAAACTGGGTCTCTTGGACTACTATAACTATATTAAAAATCAGTGGCACAGTTTTCTGCCATTTTGAAACAGAAGATGCATGAAAACAATAGAGTAAACCCTAAAATAGGGAGAACATTGTTGTCAAAACCAATGCCTCAGCCCCCAAGAAAGAAAAATAATCCTATTTTTCCCCACATTGGAGACAAGTTTCATCTATTTTGCATCATCACCCCACCCATGGTAACATTGGCTCCTCCAATGTTCAGCATGGGTCCTGATCACAAAAGGTTGACTGCCTTTGCATTAGGGCAGTGTTGTCCAAACTTGGCCACTTTAAGATGAGTGGACTTAACCTCCCAGAATCCCCCAGCCAGCCATGGGAGTTGAAGTCC